TTGTTCAATCTCCAAGTCATATTCGACCAAGTCATATATTTGCAACCCCATGGACTGCAGCACACCAGGACTCCCTGTCCTTCACTGTTTCCTGGAGTTTGCTCAAACTCATGTCCATTGAGTCATCCAATCATCTCATCCTCTGTTGCCCCCTTCTCCTCCTGCCCTCAAAATATCCCAGCATCAGGGTCTTTTCCACTGAATCAGCTCTTCTCATCATGTGGCCAAAATATTGGGACTTCGGTTACAGCATCAGTCCTTCCAATGAATATTCAGGGTTGATTTCCTTTAGGACTGACTGATTTGATCTCCCTTCTGTCCAAGGAACTCTCAAGAGTCTTCTCCAGCACCATAGTTTGAAAGCATTAATTCTCTGGCACTCTGCCTTCTTTCCGGTCCAACTCTCACATTCGTACCTGACTACTGAAAAGACCATAGCCTTGACTATATATGGACCTTTGTCAGCAAAGTAATGTCATTTCTTTTTAATACTCTGTCTAGGTTTTTCATAGCTATCCTTCCAAGAAGCAATTGTCTTCTAATTTCATGGCTGCAGTCACCGTCCACAGTGACCTTAGAGCCTAAGAAGAGGAAATCTGTCACTTCTTTTACCTTTCCCCCTTCTATTTGCTGTGAAGTGATGGGACTGGATGCTATGATCTTAGTTTTTTTTTAATACTGAGTTTTAAGCCAGCTTTTTTATTCTCCTCTTTCACTTTCATCAAAAGACTCTCTAGTTCCTCTTTGCTTTCTTCCACTAGAGAAACATTATCTGCTCATCTGAGGTTGTGGATATTTCTCCCAGTAACCTTGATTCCAGCTTGGAACTCATCCAGCCTGACATTTCTCATGATGTGCTCTCTATAATAAGTTAAATAAACAGGGTAACAATATAAAGCCTTGTTGTCATACTCCTTTCTCAATTTTGAACCAGTCAGCTGTTCTATATAAGGTTCTAACTGTTGCTTCTTGACCTCCATACATGTTTCTCAGGAGACAGGAAAGATGATCTCTTATTTCTGTATCTTTAAGAGTTTTCCACAGTTTGTTATGATTCACACAGTCAAAGGCTTTAGCACAGTCATTGAAACAGAAGTAAATGTTTTTCTGGAATTTTGTTGCTTTCGCTATGATCCACTGAATGTTGGCAATTTGATCTCTGGTTCCTTTGCCTTTTCTAAACCAAGCTTGTACATCTGGAAGTTCTTGATTCAAGTACTGCTGAAGCTTAGCTTGAAGGATTTTGAGCATAACCTTACTAGCATGGGAAGTGAGAGCTTTGTCTGGTAGTTTGAACATTCTTTGGTACTGCCCTTCTTGGGAACTGGGATGAAGATTTGCCTTTCCCAGTTCTGTAGCCGCTGATGGGTTTTCCAAATTTGCTGATGTATTGAGTGCAGCACTTTAACAGCATCATCTTTTAGGATTTTAAATAGCTCTGCTGGAATTCCAGCACCTTCAGTAGCTTTATTAGCAGCACTACTTCTGAAGGCCCACTTGACTTTGCTCTCCAGGATGTCTGGCCTTAAGTGAGAGAACACACCATTGTGGTTATCTGAGTCATTAAGAGTTTTGTTTTTTTTTTTTTGTACAATTCTTTTGGGTATTCTTGCCACCTCTTCTTAATCTCTTCTGCTTCTGTTAGGCCCATATTGTTTCTGTCCTTTATTGTGCCTATCTTTGCACAAAATGTTTCCTTGGTATTTCCAATTTTCTTAAAGAGACCTCTAGTGTTTCCCATTCTATTGTTTTCCTATATTTCTTTTCATTGTCCACTTAAGAAGACTTTTTTATGTCTCCTTGCTATTCTTTGGAACTCTGCATTCAGTTGGGTATATCTTTTCCTTTTTCCTTTGTCTTTTTCTTTTTCTTTTTTTTCCTCAGCTATTTGTAAAGCCTCCTCAGGCAACCATTTTGCCTTCTTGCATTTCTTTTTCTTTGGGATGGTTTTGATCACTGCCTCCTGTACAATGTTATGCAGCTCCATCGATAGTTCTTCTGCACTCTATCAGATCTAATCCCTTGAACTGATTGATCACTTCCACTGTATAATAGTAAGGGACTTGATTTATGTCATACCTGACTGGTCAAGTGGTTTTCCCCACTTTATTTTTAGCCTGAATTTTGGCATAAGGAGTTGATGATCTGAGCCAGTCAGCTCCAGGTCTTGCTTTTGCTGACTGTATAGAGCTTCTCCAGCATTTTGGCCTGGAGAATTCCATGGACTGTATAGTCCAGGGACTCTCAATGAGTCAGGCATGACTGAGCAACTTGCAGTTGCATAGAGCTTCTTCATTTCTGGCTGCACAGAAATATAATCAATATGATTTCATTATTGACTATTTGGTGATGTCCATGTAAATTCATCTCTTGAGTTATTGAAAAAGGGTATTTTCTATGACCAGTGTATTTTAGTTTACTGATTCCTAAGATGTCAATGTTCAGTCTTACCATCTCCTGCTTGACCACATCTACTTTACCTTGATGCATGGACCTAACATTTCAGGTTCCTTGCAATATACTTTCACCACCAGTCACATCCACAACTGAGTGTCATTTCTGCTTTGGCCCAGCCACTTCATTCTTTCTGGAGCTACAAGTAACTGCCCTCCACTCTTTCCCAGTAGCATATTGGACACCTTCCAACTAGGGGACTCATTTTCTGGTGTCACATATTTTTGCCTTTTCATACCATTTATGGGGTTTTCATGGCAAGGATACCAGAGTGGCTTGCCATTCCCTCCTCCAGTGGACCATGCTTTGTTAGAACTCTCCATTATGTCCATTTGTTAGAACTCACCCATCTGTCTTGGGTGGTTTTTCATGGCATGGCTCATAGCTTCATTGAGTTATGCAAGCCCCTTCATCATGACAAGCTGTGATACATGAAGAAGCAGAAATGAGATACTAAACATTAAACCTCTAATAAGTATTCTTATATTTCTCCTGAATTACATATACATATAATTTTGAATATCATTTATATTACTGGTTTTTAGACTAAGAATCTTTGGTTCAAAGAGATTTCAGGTTGAAATATTGCTATGCTAATTCATGTTTTGTACAATTTTTGTTAGTTACCAATTTTCTTCCAGAAAAATCATCCGGACTGAGTTTATGAATTGTCTATTTAAATTTTGCATCTATGTCTGTATTTGCATGGTTTAAAAGAAATTACCTCTGTCAATCTAAGTTTAGCTACACATCATATATATTTCTGAAAACAAGCAACCACCACAGGGTAAGCAAACGTACTGAATGACTATGATTAATGGACTGCTGACGATGTTTAAAACAACAAATGAGTCAACTAATGAGTCATTACCTCTTGATCTAAATAGCCAATGAAGTAACCAGCTAACTCACTTGTTAACATTAATTGTATGTTTGGTATTTAGGCATTTTGATGTAATCATGACAAGGTGTATAAAAACTGACAAGTTCTACATTTTCAATCATTTTTCTCCTTCATGATTTCCCAAGGCACTCTTTTAGTATCTCTCCTACTGGGTAGATTCATCATTATTAAGTGGATAAACAAGGAATTCAAGAGTACAAAATTGGCATGAAGTAACTACGTACTTTAGTAAAAGTTTGCTAATATTTCTTGGACTCAATTTTTTCACCTGTATATTAAAGTGATTATAATAGAAGTATCTGGAGTGTCTTTAAACTTCAAAATTACTCATGCTATGAATCTGATCCATGCATTCTGAAAAAGTTAACACGGTCAAGAAATGATCAAAAAATGTCAGTTTTTACTTGTGGAGACTTTGTCTAAGGCTATCAGATTATCAAGATTTAAAGTTTAGTATGCAATTTAGATGGAGAAGGCTCTTGCCTGGAAAATCTCATGGACGGAGGGGCCTGGTAGGCTACAGTCTATGGGGTCGCTAAGAGTCAGACACGACTAAATGACTTCACTTTCATGCATTAGAGAAGGAAATGGCAACCCACTCCAGTGGTCTTGCCTGGAGCATTCCAGGGACGGGGGAGCCTGGTGGGCTGCCATCTATGGGGTTGCACAGAGTCGGACACGACTGAAGAGACTTAGCAGCAGCAGCAGCATACAATTTAGAAAGAGTATGAGTTAAGACTATAAAATCATTAATATCATAGACAATGCTAACATAGTTTTATATTTTTGTAAAGGAGAACCAGAACAATGACTATGCAAGACACTAAATTATATGAAATTTTCTATAAAGACATTTTTAATTAGTTTAAATTTGAAATGTTCTTCTACCTCTTTCATGGGTTTATTCAAAGAATTTGTGTACAAATCCTCATTAAGCATTTCCCCATCAATGCTAAAACAAACATATGCTTATTTTCTCTTCTTCAGAAATGTTTTACCTCAACTACAGAGTAATGCTTATGTTCTCATTAAAAAATCATTGTAGAAAGACCAAGTTTAAATCTGAATAACTCGAAAATAACCAACTTTATATCAGTTCATTAATATATTGATTACACTATTGTCAACAAGCTAATATAAATTTCTTTGATGTAAGTATAATTCAGGTACAAGTATAGAGATTGATGACTACACGGTAATGGGCAAGACAAGAAAAAATTCATTTGTAAAAAGCAAACTATTAGAAATAATATTCCCAATTTGACTTTTGTCAAATCTTCTTTTTCCTTTTAAGTGAAATACAGATGAAGAAAAAAGAACACAAGTGTTAGAGGACACATGCACATACACACACAGAAAGACCTTTAAAGTTTTAAGAACATAAAGAGGTGATAGAGTCAGCTTAATTAAACAAGTAGTTATGCTGCTTCAGTGTTTGGATAGGAATATTAACAATATAGAAAATATTTTTAAATTAAGATAACCTACATCTATGGTCTTCCAAACATTTATTATATAATAATGAAACTCAGTTTTACTTATTTGAAAAGGTTATTAACTTACTGACCAAATGTTTGAAGGCTATTTTCACTTGCTTGTTCCTTAGTGTATAGATGTACAATATATCTATATATAGTACTCTCTACAAGAGAGGGGCAACTGAGGTATTTAAAATAGCCACTCCCTTATTAAAAGTTGCAGCATCCTCCACAGAGGGATTTATATACATGAAGATACAGCTTCCATAGGAAAGTGAGACCACAATCATGTAAGAAGAACATGTAGAAAAAGCTTTTTTTCTTTGTTGAGCAGATGGGATTCTCAGAATTGTCCTGATAATGTATGTATAGGAAAGAATCACCAGCATCAAGGTGAAGATGACGGTAATGGCAACAAAGACAAACTCAATCACTTCTATGAAACATGTGTCTGAACAGGGTAAATGCAACAGTACCGTATAGTCACAGAAATAATGATTGATGACGTTGGAGGCACAGAAAGGCAGCTGGAGAGTCATTACATGGGGCACAATGACAACTAAAAAGCCAGAGAACCAGGAACATAGGACAAGTTGAATGCAGAGTCTTCTGCTCATTAGAGTCGTGTAATGTAGAGGTTTGCAAATGGCAGCATATTGATCAAAGGACATGGCAGCTAAAAGGTAAAATTCGGTTGCTCCCAAAAGGATGGCAAAAAAGTACTGAGTGAAACAACCAGCAAAGGAGATAGTCTTGTCTCCAGTTCCAATATGGACTAACAATTTGGGAACAAAGACAAAGACAAAAGATATTTCCAAACAGAGAAATTCCGGAGGAAGAACATAGGAGTCTGAAGGCGATAGTCCAGCAGGGTCAGAATGATGATCGTCAAGTTTCCCACGATACTTAAGACATAGGTTAATAGCAGAAAAGGGAAAAACACAGCTTGAAGCTTGGCATCACTTGTCAGTACAAGAAGGCTGAACTCTATCACTGATGTTTGGTTTCCCATAGTTAAATCTGACAAGTTAAGGAAGAGTAAAATAATAATGATAACGGTTGAAATAAAAGTTATCAGGTTTTATTGAAAAATAAAATCAAACTCAAAACAATTAGAAGTAAAATTTAAAACTTGGAATCTTTCTCATCCCTTTATTTTTTCAAAGTCAGATCTTTCAATGAAACAATTAACACATTTTCTATTTTGATTCATAAATAACAAAGGTACTGCTTCTTAGAGACATTTTCAATTGTTTCTTCTAAAATGTATCAATATTAGTTTTTCATCATTGCCCCACCTGTTTGCAGTTTCCTTTGTATTCTTTCTAATTTTCTTCTTTAAAGTATTGGATGCTGTCACATCCAATACACATATATACATCCAATACATACACAAATATAAAGAAAATTTAGAGAGTAGGTTTTATTTGGGATTTCTTAAATTAGTCTTTTAACTCAGTTTATTAGCCAACAAATATATATAATCAAAGGTATGAACTCTAGGAATAAAATTGGACTTGCTCACTTTTTTTTTTGCTGTTTTGCATTTTCTCTTATTTCAGATTTCTCATTTTGAACAATAATTCTGTGCCCCTACTGAAGTTCAAAGAGTGGATAGATTTTTCTTTTAATTCTGAAGTGTTCGGAACTTACAATACTGACAGTTTCAGTGTCATGAAAAGTGTTCAATAAATGACATCTCCATTTAATATAGATATAGGGATTAATCCATCCTTGGTGAAATATTAAATTTTAAAAAAAATATTGTGCTTTCTTGCTATTAGCAGAATCTTCCCATCAACCTATTACAGTTCCTTAAAAGTCAGTTCAAGTTCTGCTCTCCATATAATTTTATCTGACAAACACAATTAGCAATAATTGTTTCTCTTCTTCTTTATAAAAATTTATCAAGAAGTAACACTGGGTCAAAAAGTCAAATTATTTTCTAATTATACCAAATGTGTACACTTTATCCAACTTTTACACAAACCAATAGCCCATAAGAACAGGCTCCAGTTTTCTTTATATCTTTTTTAGAGAGGCTATAAAATTGCACAGATTTGGTAAAAATTTCAATGCAAAATATTTTTTTTTACTTCTCTTTAGATTCATGGGGCTTCCCAGGTGGCACTAGTTGTAAAGAACCCACCTGCTAATGCAGGAGATGTAAGAGATGCAGATTGAATTCCTGGGCTGGGAATATCCCATGGAGGAAGAAATGGCAACCAGCTCCAGTATACTTGCCTGGAAAATCCCATGAACAGAGGAGCCTGGCAGCCTACAGTCCGTTGATAGACCTATTTAATTGAATACAGTAGAGCTTTATGCAAATCGAAACTCCAACTAAGTTTATGCATACAGTTTCTCAGATTTTTCTTTTAATATTTTCCATAATCAGACATGAAAAAAAAATATTACGAGAACGATTTTCCTATGCAAACATTATGAGGTTTCTTTTTCATTTACCTATTGTTTCACTACTTATGTTGACATATGTTCATATGATATAGACTAAGGCAGTGAGAGTAATACATTACATCCTTATTAAGGTAAAAATTCCAGAAATATTTGATACACATAAAAAGGTAACTTTGCAGGGAAGATTTATTGTATGATAGAATTATGTCTGGAAAATTTGAAGATTCATGTCTCCTGATGTTATAACTATAACCAATTTGCACTTTTGTACAGAATTGTCTCTTTGTTAACTATTTCTATTTAATGTATTAACATGAAGTTATAACATATTATGCAGTTATACAGTATTAGTGTATTAAAAATCCTGTTATGTTAATAATGAGATAAATGTACCAATAATGTAAATTTAAATGTTAATTGATTATGGTTATCTATGTCAGAATATATTATCTTGAATACTTTGTAATGAGTACAGATAAATGACTGTGAGAAATTAAAATTTATGCACAAATAATGAATTTCACAGAAATATTTTATATTCAGAGACATACTAGGATAATACTTCCATTATCAAAAGCTAGCTCATTAAATTGTAATATTGCCACAACTACCTTAAATAAATCTTGAGATTTGAACAATGAGTAGTGATTTTCTCCTTTCTACATAAAAATATCTAGTGTATCATATAATTTGAATATATCAATGTTAATCTACTAGTTTGAGGTCCTAGCTACTAAGTTTCAAAATTCTACTTTGGAAATTCATTGAACAATCAATTATATTCACTAAACAACAAAAATACTCTGAAATTTTCATTGTTTAGCATTTTTGACAAAATAAAAACTTTGTAAATAATTTCCACATAATAGAAACACTTTACTGAATGAATAAAAGGTTTTTAAAATTACAACAAAAACATTTTTATATAAGTGATCTCATCTATTAAATAAAAGATGAACAAAATTATATTTTTATATAAAAAGAAAATTTTATAGCAAACATTTTAGCATAACAAAAGATGATAATCCTTTAATATTAAAATTAGTGTCATTTCCAGAAAAAGAATATATGTACTCATATATAAAATCACATCTATATATCATCAAATAACAAATATTTCATTCAAACAAGATTTATTTAGCAAAAGATATATTTGTCATTAAAAGGCATACTGCAAAGACACTGATTTTAAAAAAGATAAGGCTTATTTGTAGTTGAAAAGATGTTGATAAACTTTCCCAGACTTTTATGGATATCATTAATTTTGAATCCCTTCAGAATGGATTATATATAACTCTCAAGTTTAGAGAGTCATATTCTGAGACATATTAGAGAGATATTTTGTCTCTTTCTGCAGTGGACCCTAACCATTAGAAACCTCTATCCCTTTATGAAACATTGTTCTCGATTACATTTAGGAGGAATGTTAAGAAAACTGAATCCATGGAAAGTAGGAATTAGAATAGTCGAAAAACAGGAACATGGTTATTTATTTTACCACTTCAAGCTCTAATTCTGTGAGTGTGGCATAACATTTTTTCCACTTGAAAATACCTTTTACTTTTAAAATATAATGCTTTGAAAAATTTTACCTTTATTTAAGTCAATCAAAATTTTATGAAAAAGAATGTGTGTGCAGTTATGTCAACAAGTGAACATGAAAGGTATACAAACAAAACAATAATGAGACACATCTCCACACATCTTTAGTTAAATGCTGCAGTCATCAGCCCTCTCCTACCTCAAATGGGTAAATCAGTTCTACCTTCACTCCAAATCAGCTCCTTTTGTGACTGAGAGAGAGAATATAAAGTTTTAGAACCCACTGGGAAATCCTCCCTGGGCCATGAGAATTTGTCCGCTTCAAAACACTCAGGAAGAGCCTGGTTTTCTCTCCTAACAAAGGTGGGTCAAATTAGAAGGTAGGAGAAGAAAAAGGCGGGCCTGTGTAGAGCGTATACCCAGGATGCAATCCCCTGCCAAATCTTCCCTACAATTTCATTGCTCTTAGAAATTATCTATCACTCTTTTCATATTCACTTTGCTCTGAGTGTATATATTGCTGCTTCCTGGTCAAGTAAGAGCATTACCAACTCGATGCTCTTCCATCTTTCTGCATTCTTTCTCCAGCCATCTCAAGACGAGTTCCCTATCCTCACTCCGATCTCAGAAGTGGGCATGCCTCACAGAAGCCTCCCTGACCAGACCACACAGGACAGTCACTACTCAGTCATGTCTGACACCTTAGCTTGCTTGATATTTAATACAGAGTAGATTTTTTTTTTTATTGTTAACATCACTCTTAAATTCTATTCCTTTTTGGTTTGCTTTCATGTTTATTGCATATCATCCTCACTAAAATGTAAGCTCCACTAAGTAAAGGACTTTTATTAATGCTAGATTGTAAGTAACTAGGTGTTATGAAAGTGACCAGTACATATTTAAAATTATATATGTGAATTGCATCTTTTTTTACCTGAATCTTATTTAATATCAATTTTCTATAGGTTTGAGCTATTCTAGCATATCATATTACTTTAAATTTTCATGAGAGATCAGTAGTCTTTAAATTCCTTTTCTCTAAATCAACCCAAAGATACTCCAACATAGAAAAAAATAAGGTTGAGAGCTTAAAAACAGAGCAAATTTCAAATAAATATTTGGTTTATATCAAGTACTTGAAATATACTGATCTGAAAGGACCTCTGAAGTATTCATTTAAGAAAATATATTTCACTCTAACATTTCGTATTTAAGGAATAACAAGAGAAATTTGTCATCTCTGTCTAAAAAATCATTCTGATAAATATTTCTAATTGAATCATGTGAAAACACATACAAACATCAAAATAAAATATTAATATTTTTATAAGCAAAGTGAATGCAAGAAAAATGAAATGGAATGTCAGGATTATACAGGTGAATTAAATAAAATAATACAGGTAAATAAAATAAACCTTTATGATTATTTTCCTAACTCCATTCTATTTTTTATAAATTAATTGATGAATTATAATTAAAGAATTATATAGATGATTCTTCTAATCTCCAATATACATGTGTATATCTTCAGTATAAATTCAACTTAGTGATGAGAAATATATTCAACTAAGCATATGTTTAAAAATAATCAGGTCTATAAGATAAATAGTGTATGAAATAAATAACTATAAAATGTATAGATTATTAGTACATATGAGATATATATAAATATATAAATACCTATAGGTGGATAAAGTATATATATATATATATATATATATACACACACATAATATATATACTAAATATATCCATGACTCAAAATGATTGTAATCAATGAAAAATATCTATATACAAAACAGAAATATGAAAAAAATATTGTATGCAATTTGAACTTCTTCCAGATGTAGTAACTTATTGCTTGCCTGACACAACTTTCTCACACACATGCTAATGTAATGATTTCAATATTTTCTCAGGGAACCATCAGTTTCACTCTTGAACTTCCCTTGATTACGCATAAATAACATACTTTCCTCCTTTTATGTATTATCTCGTCATATGACTTCTTTAGCACTAAATCTATTATTGCAAAATAACAAGTGAATTACT